TTGCTCCATTGTGGAATTTATAATCCAACACTCCTACAGCCGGCTCGTAATCCAACAGCCACTTTTCCACAGCTCGGAACGGTGAGATACTTCTCATGTTGACTGGAGTAAATGTGTTATACTTCAGAACGGTATCGTCGTTCAAGAATATGTAATAATAGTAGCCCGGTCTCCTATTCATTGTGGCAAAAAAGAGCACATTTCTTCCTGACGCCCAGCCGGTCTTCGGATCAAACAAATAACTGACCTGTGATTGCTTGTCTTGTGGAGTCCGACATCTGGCACGAAAACTTAACACAATGACATCACCAATTTGAGGATCACCAATTTGAGATGATGTTGCCAAGTTGGCGGGAAGGCATTGCTCGGTTCCTGTTAGATAAATAAATGGTTTCGTACCTGGCAATTCCGTGCGCCTTTGTGCTGCACCGTGTTCATGAAGTTGCAAGTTGTTGTTGGCAAAAAAATGTAACCTCTGTCCGACGGATAACCCTGTTTAACTCGTGAAAGGTTTCCGACGCATAAAAAAAACTATGGCGACTGTTATAACGAAACTAAGGGCTAACGTGAATGCAAAGGTAACCCTTAAAGTCATTTCAGTAGGGGAGAGAGTTCTTTATGCCGTGAAGTGTATAAAAACCTGAAGAAGTACCAAGTTTAATCAGAATCAAAAGGAGAATAAATAACTGTTGGATATCTACAATTGCTTGGAAACGATTTAATCAGATGGTCATGTTAGGCAAATAAGTGCCGACCTGTGAAGTGTCCAGGGGGGCATCAACATAAACTAAAAATTGCAAAGAAGAATAATCACAAATATGAAAAACAACAACCAAGCAATGTACACTGGCAATACTGGTTTTCTTCGAATCTCTGCTTTTAGAATTTTGATGAAGTTCTCACCGAGACCAAATGTTGTATGGGGTTAGAATACTGCCCACGAAACAATGATATCAGCGATTTTCGAACATTCCCCGAGGCTGTCGAGAAAAACGGCCATAAGAAGCCAACGTCGAAAATTATCGTGCCTCATACAAAATAATAAAATGCCGTAATCTTAATTCATTTGGTTCAGTGAATGTCTCGTTTTACGAGGAGGGAAACAGCGTTTTCACGTTTCACACCTCTAAAAATTATGTTTTATGTTATTCAAATAGGAGCTCACATTATATTACTCTTTCGGACCACAGATATTAAAACGAAAAGATTCTTTTCTTACCTTTCTATTTTATTTATTTACTTTTTCATAATTTGCTCTTGTAATGTATTTATTTTAAAAAAACGTTGATAGACTGGCCCGCCTAGACTATAGCACTAGCTATTCGCTGGCCAATCTAACTATAAAAATATTAATCGCGGAACGAAAATAAAGATTGATTGATTGAGAAAATAATCAGCAATATATATATCAAATGAGTATATAGGTATATACTGATCGGAATACAGTCTTTAATGTGTAGAACTTCAAACTAATGAGCCTCCAAGCTTGGACAGCAAAGATCATGAAAAATTAAAGACGTAACACTCTATTAATATATAGACATATATACGTATAAACATATACGTACAATTGCGCCCTTTTTTTTCCTCAAATAATACAGATACGTTTGGAAGCCGAAGGCTTTTAATTTAATTTTTTTTTTTAAT